AAAAAAGGCGGCGAAAAAAACGTAACGAAGTCATTCGATCGCAAAATTTTTTACTCTTCATATTTTTTTTCATACCAGGCGCTTCATATGAGAGTCGATTCTTAAGGAGTAAACTCTAATAAATGCGGAAACTTTGGATTCGTTTTACATTAGTGAATGTTAAAACGCTCAAATTAATATTGAACATGTCAAATTAAATGATGTTTAATATAATCAATAAATACAGCAATCTATTTAACTGTTTTATTTACCCTATTATCGTTTGAAACTTACCTAGCAACGTGTACACTACGTTTTTACCTGTTGCAGTAAAAGTGAAAGTGAGACTGGAGTTCCGGAATGGGCGATCATCGAACTCCAAGGGCTTGTACAAATAAAGAAACACGATACCGAGGGTGCTACGGTCATCGGCGACTTGCACTACTACTCGAGGAATCGACATCCGGTGCTTGTGCTCGGCCACCACATCCTGAACGGGAAGGAAATGAAACTAAAAACAGCCGATGGCGGTCATAGAGAAAGTGATTGTTGATAACAAAACGAATTATAAAGTTAAAGCAGTTGTTAAAAAGAATTACTGTTTTAAGTCTAGACCCAAACCTATAATTTCCAACGTAGCAGAACGAGTGTAACCGTTATATTAATAAAAATATAAAATTAAAATAAATCTTAGTATTTTTTCTTTTGGTATTTGTAGTACGATACAAATTATAATATGCCTCGGTGGTGCTGTGGTAGCGTATAATCTAACTGAGGTCTCGGTTTCGATTCCCGGGTCGGCCCAATGTTTGTATGATCTGCAATTATAATTTATTTTTTGGCAAACATTACATCTCTGTCTTGTTTCTTTTTAATTCATGTAAAAAATTGATTATACAATTAGCATATCCCTCTCATCATCATCAATCATCAACAGGCCTATACTAGTCCACTGCTGGACATAGGCCTCTCCTTAGAAAGGAGGTTTTGGCCTACTATACCACGCTGGCCGGACGGGTTGGTATTGGGTTTGTTTCAAGTTTTCCTTCTCTTTGCAGTGCTGTTGTCCTGCTTAGTTTGCTCCCTTAGTCGGCTCTTACGACACCCACGGGATGAATTGGGGGTGGTGACAATTTGTATTCTTAATCCGTCACCACACCACAGCATATCCCTCTATCTCTGTCTAACTGAGCTCTGGTTGGCTGGGGAATACGAGGGGTTAATAAGTAGCCAATCGCAGCTTAGCTAAACAGAGACAGGGAAATATTCGGCATACATCCCTCATTGCCTGTATCGCTTCCACTTACAGGCAGTTGTACTCCGTGTAAGAAACACGGGATACTCAATACTCAATACTTTATTGCTACCATAATGTAAATTTCACAGTTGGTAAAAACTTAAGCTAGGTATCAATTATGGACCCTGTCGGGCACAGCATGAAGAGAGAGAGAGAGGGGAATGATTATTACTACATTTATTTATATATATTATATATATATATTTAATCTGTATAGTCATTATTTTATTTTTATTTAAATATTTAATAAATATTTATTGCACTAAGTTTGTATTATTTGTTATAAAGGTTATTAGTAGTATTGTGATTTATTTTGTTAATTGTTGCAATGGTTTTGGTCAGGCTTGACTATGGTCTCGTGATGTTTTTTTTTTTTCTGAAACAAGTGTAATGTTTTTATAATGTTGTTAAATGCATTGTCACGAATTGTTTATTTCATCCATATATTCTTTTACACTGTAATAGCTTTTTCGCAAGAGGATAGTTTTAACTTATTAATGAAAATGTTATTTTTTTCTTCGTTCTTAATCTTTTCTGGTAGTTTATTATAAATTTTTATAGACATAACTAAGGGGCTTGTAGAATGCATAGTTTTAGTTGGGAAGTTGGGAGGTTAAGTCTATTTTTATGTCTTAGTGTGAATTTGATTTTTTTGTCTTCTCTTTTACTATAGTATTCCGGGTGTTTTCGAACAAATTTACTCATTTCCAGAATATAAATACATGGAAGAGTTAGGATTTTGAGGTTCTGGAAATGGGGTTTGCAGGACTCTGTTTCTTTTATATTAGTCAGAATTTTTGATTAATTTTTTTGTAGGGTAAAGGTAGTATGTGCCTCTGAACTATTTCCCCAAAGGATTATGCCATAGCTGAAGCAAGAATAAGCGTATGCGTAGTATGTGACAAGAGCAGTAGAAAGGTCTGTCGTCTTCTTAATTTCGCATAAAGCGTATGAAAATGTTGCTATTTTTGATCGATTTTTTTTTATGTGAGCTTTCCAGGTAATATGAGTATCTATAATTATCCCCCAACAAGTTAATTCCTTAACGACTTGCAGCTGAAGCCCTTCAAGTTAAATTTATATTTAATGGTTTCTTTTGGTATGGATGGAAAGGTATTATTTTGGTTTTAGAGAAATTTATTTCTAAGTTGTGTTCTGTCAATCCAATCTGTTGTTTTAGTGAGTATTGAGTTTATGTTGTCATTAAGATTTGCATTGGCGTTAGAAGAAACTAATATGGAGATATCGTCTGCGAACATGACACATGGTTCCTTTATGTACTTTGGTAGGTCGTTGATGTAGATAAGGAATAGCAAGCACCCTATCACACTGCCCTGAGGAATTGAGGCGTTTATGTCTATTGAACTTGAATGAATTCTTTCTATTTCTTTTTTATTTTGGTTAAAGTATTCTAACTCTACCAGCTGTTGTCGATCTGTTAAGTATGAGGTGAGCCAGTCATGAGCTTTTCCACGTATACCTATATTGTATAATTTATTTAATAAAATTTTGAACTGCACCTTGTCATAGGCCTTGTCATGGGCAAGTAAAATACCTATAGCATATTGTTTTTTGTTTATGGTATTGAGGGCTTCTTGGATATATCTATAGACAGCCAATGTTGTTGACTTATTTTTACGAAAGCCGTTTTGGCAATCGTCAAGTATATTATATTTTTCACAGAAAGAATATATTCTATTGGTCATGGTCTTTTCAAAAATCTTGAAGCAGTAGGTAAAATGGCTATTGGCGATAGTTGTTAGGGTCTGTTTTGCTTTCTTTTTATGGATAGGTTTTTATTATTGCTTGCTTCAACCGGTAAGGGACAGTTCCTTCTTCAAAAGATTTATTAATTAGTAGGTAAAGGGGTAAGGTTAATTCATCTGCACAGTATTTGAACAAAATTGCGGAAACTCGCCGATGCCGCAACTGTTTTTGCTTTTTAGTTTTTTTCAATACCTTGTTCACCTCGTATGGGTCGACAAAGGTAGAAACATGGTATTTTCCATTACGTTGTGTAGTGGGCAGTGTTTGGTTGTGTATCATGCTTATATGTAGTTTTCTCCCCAATAGAAGTAAAAAAGTCATTAAAGTAGCTAGCTATTTGTGTGGGTTCTGATATGAGGGTATTGTTGATTTGCAACTTTATGTTTTTCTTTATCTTTTTTTTTGTTTTTTATTTGTCCGCTCGTTTATGATACTCCACATGGTTTTGGTCTTTTTGTTTGATTTTACTATTTTATTTTTATAGTGGAGTTTTTTTGCCGTTGTTACTGTCTTTTTTAATATTTTTTCATATTTTTTATAATAATTAGTCAATATCGGGTTGTCTACTTTTTGTGTAAAAAATTTCATTAGTCTTTTGTTTTTGCAGGATAATTTAATACCTGCAGTTAACCAATACTTTTTAAAATGAGTTTTTTAATTTTATTTTTCGTTTTGGTATGCACTCATTTAGGATAGTTGTTAATGTGTTTGTTGAATGTATTATAATTTTCGTTTACATTTTGATTTGAAGGTAGTATATTAGACCAATTTATGGTATGCAGTTTCGATTTGAATTTTTTCATGTTTATTTGGCTATAAATTCTTTTTCTTGATACACTGGGGTATGCTTATATCTCTATAGGTATGATAGAATTTGGGCGTCTACGCCTTTAATAGCATTAATCTGTTGTTCGGCTACTATCTTTAAACATGTGAACATTTCTTTAGATTCCATTGTCTTTTAGTATAAGAATTTAAGATGTTCTGCTTGTGGCTCTTCTAGAATGCTCGACCAAGCATCAACCAGTTTCATTTGGTGTTAGAAGGGGTTTAAATTGCACACACTGGCGTTATGTATCTACCGTCAAGGAACGGGCTGGTTAAACCGGGGAAGTACTACTCCTACTCACAGAAAATCGACGATACCGCACACCATGGCATACTTAAGGTAGTCATTTCAGGCAAGTGGGGCATTTTTGGAATCAAGGATGGTCATTACCGGATAGTAGTAATTTTAGGAACGTGGTCATTTTCAACCTACATTGGTATTGGTATTGGTTGTGGGCTTCGGTTTCCGCATTTAGACTCAGAGTGGTCCTTTATGCGTCGAGGATTGGTTGACTAGGTGAGCCAACCAAGCTCCTTCCAGAAGCGCAGAAGCCTCCTGGGGGGTTCACAGGCTTCTAGGAGCGACTTTATATCAGGAATGATACTTGCCCGTTTGTGTGGCCACTCCCTCGCATTCCAGGACTACGTGGCGGCCGTTTCTTCAGCTTCCAGACATCCCCTGCACAGGGGACTGTCCGTCGCATTGATTATGAATAGTTGTCGGTTCAGGGCTAGATGTCCTGTAATAGTTCCGACAACCATTCTGAGTTCCGGTCTGCTAAGACTGATCAGTCTGCAGGTGAGTCGTGGTGTGACTTGATTCAGCACCAGTTTTGGACTGTCTGCAGCCGGGTGAGTTTTTCCACCTCCGGTTGTGTGCTTCACAGGTCCGTTGCCTGACCCAGCATCGTATTTTTGGTTAAACGATATGGCAGGAGTGGCGTTGGGCCAGAGGTTGGGGTTGCCGATGCCCCTCCTTGCCAACTCATCTGCGGCATCGTTCCCGTGTGAGTTACTGTGCCCTTTAATCCATTGGAGGAGTACCCCTTGAATATAGCGAGCTGTTCCAGTGCTTGGTGGCATTCGAAGACAATACCAGAGGTCATTGTGTTGCCCTCCAGTGCCTTTAGACGGCCATGCTGTCGGATATTATTCGGATGTTGTAGTCCTTGATACCCCTTGACATGGCCGTTGTGGCAGCGTAAGTATTGCCACCATTCACTTGAAAGAATTTCCAATTGAAATTTGCTCGAAACTGTGTTGGCTGACCTTAAACGCGATATCTTTAGGG